GCATGGAAGTTATGGTCTAAAAGAAATGTTGCCATCTTCTGATGCAAAACCAAAAGGAAGTTTGAAGTTTCTGCTGAATTTGAGAAGAAAGCCACCCTTTTGATTCGAACTGACTAAAATCATTTCCACACGCTGTTTCACAGACGTAGGGCTGACACCTGTTTTACCATTTAAAAAAAATACCTGTTACTCTGTGTGATCATCACAGTATGAAATTAACAGCTCATGATGTATCACTGCACTGTTTCTGTTTGTTTCAGTTGTTGCCCAGTGCTTTTTCAGAAAAATACAGGACTATGTGGACATTCTACATGTCTTGTGTAGATGACATCAAATGTGACAAGCTTAATGCACTTGAAGAAAATTTGTTGTCGTGGTTCCACATACAGTATTCCCTGGAGCTGTGTCCTGTAGACTGGAGTTAATCGGGTCAGGAGTAAAACACAATCATGAGATTATTGATCGAGCAGCAACTTGGAAAATAAGAATAAAACTTACTTAAATCCTTGCTTACTTTGGTAAAGAATTAGCAGGATGCAAGATACCTCCTGAAACATTTTAGTTAAGTGAAATCTTTCATAAACCAAAATTCACAGCTGTACACATTTTTCAAAATGGTGTAGCGAGTCCTAGGTACTGTATTAATTTTTGGCAGTGAAATGTAAACAGAAGTAGGTGCTTGAGAGAAAGCGCCGTGCTTGTGTTATTCCAATGTTTGATGCTCCGGGCAGAGAAAAGAAGCTTTTGACACATTTAAAACTCTTGGTCTCACTCTTTTCACACTTTTTCATGCCTGAGAGTGGTGAGTTTGAGAAAGTCTTTGAGATAATGTCTTTGAAAGACTAACTTTCTCTGTTGGTCTCTCTCTATAATAGTGTCCATTGACTTCAGTGAATCATAATTAGCAGTTCAGTGTTTCTATAGAGATTAGTCTTCATACATCATACCTTTGCCGTTTCCAGGAAACTGAGTTAGAAGCAAAGCCATTTTATATGGTATCCACAGAAACCTTAATAATTTTCTTCCTTTAGTTATAGATCTATTACATCTGCTTCAAAATAGTTCTGGCCTTTTTTTACCTTTACCAACCTTTTGTCTGAAAAGTTTGCAGAAATAAAAATGAAGTTTATAGTTTAACTAATTAAATCAGTGTTGAGGTTACTGCCTTTTGATAATTTTTTTTAAAAGGTGAATTGAAAGTGTTATAGACAATGAAAAACACAGCGTGGTGTGTTTGTCAGATGTGCACTGAAAGATGGTGAGAAAGATGTCACACGTGTCATGCAAATCGATTTCATACCTTCAGAAGTGTCACAACAACATCTTCAGGAAGACTCTAATGATGTGAGCTATTTAAGGAGCTTCAAGCATAAAATGCTGTTAAGTGTACTTACAGGGTTTAGTTCTTCAAATGGCTTCTTCACCCCTTCCTTAGGGCCGTTTATAGGAAATCAGTCAAAGCTTATACAATATTAACCTCTAGTCAACTACTGTATATTCTTTTGAACAGCTGTAGGTTAATTTATATCTTTTCAAAAACATATCTTTAAGCCTGTTGTCCTACGGGACCCTGTATCTAATGTTTTCCCCCATTCTCTGATGTCTTTATTGACTCATTCCGTCTGTTTTGTGTAATTTGTAATTTTCATGAGATTTTATCCTGAAGCTGACAGGTTTTCTTCTGAGCTCCCTTTTAAGAATGGATCCAGCTTCACTTTGGACACCATGATCCTTCAGGCAAAATTGCCTTTAAAGGCCAAAAAGGTGTTGGAAGGAAGAGAACTTTCATTTTTTTACATGGCGAGTTTCCAAAATATGTTACAGTTGGCGATTCTGAAGGCTTTACAGGAATTACACTCTCTCACTGAGACAGCGAAGACACAAACAGGGGTGATGCAGAGTGTTCGATGGTCATTTCTGAATAACAGATTGAGCACCGTTCAAAGATATTCCAATATACCAATGGATAAAATATACTGTAAATGAGGCAGATTATTAAACCAATTTCCCAATTAATACATTAGGAAAAAAAGTATTATTGTTTAAATTAGTTTAACTGCACCTTTCTTGAGTTAAAAGAATCATTTGATTTAGTATACAGTACCTGAAGAAATCCCTAGGTAGCCTTGAATCACATAGCGTGGGGAAAAAAACATTACGTCCACGGGAGCACAAAGTTTTCTAATCTGGCTTTTTTAACTATCAAATGCTGTGCTTCGGTAAGAACTAACTTTTAGGTCCTTTTAGGCACAAGCTGAAATGACATTTGGCTTTCTATTACAGTATGAATAAAGAGCGATTCACTTCTTAAAAAAAAAAGACTGATCTTCCAAACAAAATGATTAATTGTGGAACCTGAGCCCACAACTGAGATCGGATCTCAAGACAAAGTTGTTTTGATAGCAATCGCTAATACATTTCATAACCTTCTGATCACGTCTGCTTCAGTTCGTCTTGGTAACCCATGCTGGGTATCTGCCTGACTGTGGCTATAATTAATAAATAAAAGATATAATTACAGTAAGTGTGCCATTCTCCCTGGGCTTCACAGCCAGCTACAAAAGGAGCATGAAATTGCTGGTGTTCAAATGTCTTCCTTACATATGCACAGTGTCTGCATGTGCCCCTGCTGTTACTGTCCTGCCACAGATGACTTTGAAACCAGACTCTGCCTGGACCTCATTAACCAGTAATGTGGCAGTGGAGGAAAGCACATTAACCACCCAGTACACAGGTCTTTTCTCTGTTTATAATCCTAAATGGAATATCACCATATGGGGAATCTCTGGGCTGGGCTGGGCCCTGGGGTCTGGATGGTTCCTGGGAGATTGAGTTCACCTGAGGTAGCTACACGTCTTAATTCAGAGAGTGAGCCATGCTTCTCCTCTCCATCATTCATACCACTAATAACCTGTGCCCTAACCGGTGTTAGCAGTTCTATTTATATTGAGTTTGATTTTATTCAATTTTTATTGTGCTCTTATTATGCAACTTAATTTAGTAACTTTTAGTTTTGTGCTGTTTATTTTGATTCCCCCCCCAGGTGAGCTTGCAGAAAAGACATTTCATTGCCAGCCATAACTGCTGCACGCTGTACTGTTGTGCATTTGATAAATACACTTTGGGTGATTGAATGAACCGCAAAGAAACACTGCCACTGTTGAACCATTTCCAGGAACCAGCGCTGACCATTCAATACTCACCTTAAGAAGTGGTCCAACTGAAAGACTCTTCCCCTTCCTCTTTGCTCTTTACCTATTCTAAAACCTAAGACCCGCCGTATCGTATCCCCCTGTTGCCCCAGCATGTGAATACTTGCACTTGTTTTCACTCAACTGTCCTAAAGGCGCCCTCTAGTGGCGGAAACTGCCGTTGTCGGATAAAACAATTCTTTTCTCCCCAAAAAGCTCCCCTTCTGAAATCACTATGGTGAATCTGCGACAGAGGGCTTCAGATAAATTCCCGTCACCCACACATTCATTTCTGCTTCGCTCTTTCTCTGTGTACATGTTTACGCTTTTAACAGCGCAATCTCACCGCCCATCAGGCCTGTCCACGGTGGGAGAGCCCTGGAACATGCCGAGGAGATATGCGGTCGAGATTGACTGAAGATTCATCTTTAAGTCAGATTTAGCCATCTTTAATAACCATCAGCATTCCCTTTTCCTCTTGATTTGCCTTTCTATTCTTTCTTCAATTGGCACTCAATTCGATTTGCCTTTCAGACATCAAATTATCTAACTCTAAAGTGAAAAATAATAATGTAGTCTGAGTCCCAGAAGTGTTTAAAACTCACAGCAGGGATCCTTTTTTTAAAAAAATGGCTAGAAAAGTCAGATTAAAGGGAGAAAGCTGTCTCTAACAACGAACAAGACAGGTCCATTTCACTAGCTTAAATGCTGCAAGCTCTATTTTATTGGTGCCTTGAGAGAACTCACAGCTGCGGATCGGACTGACAGAATGCTGACAGAATTAAATTAAATGAATAAATCACAGAGGTATTTGATATTATTGTTACAAACTAATTATAGGACAGGCCATAAAGAAAAAGGGGAAAAAACAGCCCCATGACAGAAGCATTTTGCATTTTGATAAAGAAGCCTAATAATGTCTTCAGGCAGCATCAATTCTCTCTACGCACGTTTTTATCTCCACCAAAGGGAAAATTTTCAAAGTGCTTCAACCGCAGCTGGCTTACTCAGACCAAGCCTTCATGAGGTAGCCATGGAAACCTTTATAAGACTCCCTTTCTGTTATGAATCTGCACGTGTGCCAAAGAGATGGAGGAGTTCCTTGCTGGCTCAAGGAGGGGTCTGAGCAGTGATCCTGACATTCTATTACATCAATCAATTCATAAAAAGTCTTTTTCCTCTCAATGAATGGAACTCGTGTGAAATGTACAAGGCTATATACAGTATAGTAGAAACACACTCTCATTCCCCACCAAAGCACACCCCGTTTAGTTACAATCAATATGTACAGGTGCTGAACTCTTTGGATTAGTATTATCTTTGGTCTTTTGTTTCGGAATGCAATGATAGCAGCCTCTTTTAGCTGAATGGGTTCATTGAACAGCACTATTCAATATCTGCATTGATAAATCATATCTATTCCTGAATGTTCTCAAATCAGACACATCGCACTAAATGTAGTGTATTGTGCCCCAAGTATTAAAGATGGCTTATCTTGCACTGCAGCCTGAATGTCCCAGTTTAGGTTGTATTCTGGCATTAAATGTATATTTTGGGTTATAGAATCCAGGACAAACCATGTTGTGACGCAGCAGATCACAAAAAAATATCCGGAGGTTCACAGGCTAAACAACGCCTGTCCCATTATAAACACAATGGATGATATCCTTGGATCTGATAACTACTAACTACTCAATGGGCTGAATGGGCCACATCTAATTTCTTCTGTATGTAATTCACTTCAGATGTTTGCTCAGACTGGCAGCTTGTATAAAATGTGTATAAATACAGGTACATGCAGAAGAAATCTTTTCTTGGCCTTTTTTTTTATTAGGTATTTTAAGAAATAGAAAAAATAAACCTTTGTGATCTAAATCACTTTGGCTAACACATACTATTCAACTTATTGCACTTCAGGACAGGAAATCTTCTATTGCACATTACATGCAGAAACACAGCTTGAGGTCGACAGGCTGCTACTCTGTTGGGCTGGTGAGCTCCACTCTTTGATATCTGGCTGAAGAAATGCTTTCCTTGCCCCAATCATAGCCGCTCCAACCTCTGTTATAAAACCTACGAAAAACAACAACCCAAACCAAGATTAGAATTTGAGTCAATAAATAACGCAGCTAGGTTCATGTAATACTTTCCTCATTGATTGAGGAAATGAATCATCTTGTGCTGTCATGTTTTCACAGGTGGATAGTTCTTAAAAAAACATTATGATTCCATCAGTGAAGGATTAACATTACAGGACACTAAACTGACATAAATGTATAAATATGTCTGGAAATGTTCTCGAGCATTAAAAACTTCATGCCACCGTTGGGCTTAATTGTTTTTTTTTTTTAAATATTCTAAGCAATTGGACTGCAAATGTCAGAGCATAAATACAAAGCAGAAAAGTGCGACTCAGCTGTTTCAGAACAATCATATAAGTCTTTTATCGATTTTAAGTCGCTCTAAAGCAGGGGTGTTTAATCTTGGTCCTGGAGGAGCAGGTCTGTTGATTTTTTTAAAGTCTCTTTAAAGCCACAGTGCTTACAGAAACCAGACTCCAGTATGCCAGACTCCAGCTGGTCCAGCTCATGAAGAGCTGAGTTAGTATGAAAACCTGTAGACACACCAGCCCTCAAGGACCACGACTGGACAGCTCTGCTCTAAAAGGCAGCTTCCCTTTGCACTTGTTTGAGATGCTTTGAAATCATAAGAATAAAGGTTCGGAACCTGGTCTCCTGTAGCCTCATCCAAACATTACCTTGCCTATAAATGTCCACACAGTTACAGACAAATACACACAAAGCTTTGGCACTCAGGTTTCTACAATTTGGTCCCATTTTTGAATAAAATGTTATTCTCACGCAATTTGGAGTTAGTGGTTGTTGAAGGCTTGGGCTTATTACATAAGGAGAGCATGAGGACTTGCAGATGTGTTGCTCTGATACGCTGACCCGTCAGAGCCATTTATCCATTGATATGCTGCAAGCTCTGCAGTGCCCAATACTTTGCATGCATACATTTACTTTGATTGGGAGACTCTCTGCAATATCAGGCTGGGACTAAGAACCTCAACACAACAACAAAAAACAGCAGTTTCTGCAGTAAGGACTAAACCCCACAGCCTTTCAGTTAGCAATATAGAGCTGGACCTATTATTTTACACAGTCCACATTGCTTATATGTACAATTCACTTTTCCTGTATTGTAACTTTTGTGTTACTTTTCAAATATTATGTACCTTTTTCCAGACAGCTCCTTATCTATCTCTTCCAGGGATTTCCCTTTTGTTTCAGGCAAGAGGAAGTAGATGAAGAGAACAGCAAGGACTCCAGTCAATCCGTAGAGCAGGAAGGTCCAGGACAGGCCTAAAGTATCTAGTCAAAGGAATAATACAGATGGTGGACTCTGCATTCCATTCCAAAAGACCTTGTTAAATCTGAACTGAATTACATCTTTTGCTGTTGGACAAAATGACTGATATTACTGAAACAACTCTGGACTCCTTTGTGGAAAAAAATAAAAAGATAATGCAACAGCTTAAAGACAGTTATGCAACGAAATGGGTTGCTCGTGCCAAGAAAGGCAAATTACACTTCCATAGTCCTAAATTACTTTTGTGCTTCTCAATTGACAGTATAGTCCTGGCAATGGCTTCAAGGAAGGAAACTCTCTATTCTTAATGGCATTCATCAAGTACAAACCTAAGAACATTTCACAAGGCGGTTACTGCTAGCATGTACTTGTTTATGACTTGAAAAGCATCACACACGCTCCACACACAGACCCCTTCAGAGGCCACATTACCATGAATACGCCTGATAACTCACCAATCACGTTCAGGAAGGTAAAGGTAACAATTAAGTTGGCTGCCCAGTTGAAGCAATTAGTGAAGGCAAAGGCTCTTCCCCTCAGCGAGGCTGGAAATATTTCGCTGAGGACCAGCCAGGTCACTGTACATTCCAGCAAAACAAAAGCAAAATGTTAACGGTGTTAACATTGCGTCACACAGCATTACATCCTGGGGAAAAAAAGGACTTTTGTATTTAGACCTTTGAAACAGAAAAAACTTAATTAAATGTTTCTCAGACAAAAGGAGCAAGCTGCCTTTTTTCTAATTAAAAAAAGTAAAGCTTTAATTTCAGCTTTTAGTTGCTCCTAGTCATGGTATGACTAATATGAATAAAATATATAGATACTGTATGTGGTTCTAGTCCAATATATTGGTTTTTGGTTCTGCGATGACCTTGGATAAATCAATAGGATTATTCAGGTTCTGTCCTCCCACATCTCACAAGAGAAAAGAGAGTGTGATCCAGCTGCAATAGAAAGTCTGACCTGACAACTGCAAATTAAAAATCTCGTATAATACCCGAGAGCAACTTTTGACTCAGTAGAAAAAGAAAAAGCAGCCTCGAGCAAAAAGGAATTAATCATCAAGTGCTGGCTTTGTAACTTGTGTTTGGTAGATGGGTTGGAACATTGAACTGATCTTGGATTGTGCTGCTCAGTGTGATCTTCCATACGCTGACCAACGCTGCTTTCTCATGACTTATTTGGTGGCAACTGACCAGCATTAGGTAATGGAGAGGTCTAATGTGCTGTATGTCATAAATTAGATTCCAAACACGAATGGAAGCAGATTGTGTTTATTCCTTCAGGTGCATGACATTCTGCTTGTTTCTTTCATATCTGTGAAGGTCAGTTGCTCAGGTTGAAAAATTAAGTAATTAATCTGCAGCACTACTTGGATCTTGACTCAGCCAGGCTACATCCGACTTTATGCTTTTACATCCCAGGATGAAAACTACTGTTCTCACCCTGTGAACCATTTGACATCACTTGAAACTAATTTGATCCCCTTCCCACCCCATCCCGATTTCTGAAAATCGTTTTAATATAAAAACTTCAAACACCTCTTCTTGCTTCCAGATAGTTACCCCTCCCTTCACTTCAGAATACTTCACTGCAAACATTTGTCCGGCAATCAAGAATTTCACATTTCTCTTTTGGCACCTTAAGAAAAATGGACTGCTTGGGTGTAGCTAATTTTAAACTCCATTACCAGAGCTTTTCAACTTTCAACAGCAATCAAAGTTTGATTTAGTCAAAGGCTTTAGAACTGTGGTGACATTCAATTATTCCTATTCCTATTTCCTTGTCATTCCTTACCAGCCTTACTCTCAGATCAGGATGTAGTTACTGCTTCTTATTTAGAAAACTCTTAAGTACCATGAAGTGGTTCCAATTGAAAACAACAGTTTCACTGCTATTTGCTTTAGATTATACTACAGTATGGCGTTTTCAGAAATATTACAGTGCACAGTGGTACAGTGGATAGTACTGCTGCATCATAGCACTGGGGCCCTGGGTTCAATTCCTGGGGTGCTATCTGTATGTTCTTCTTGTGTTTGTGTGGGTTTCCTCCCAGAGTCAAAAGACATGATGGTAGGTCAATTGGCTTCAGGAAAAACTGGCCCAGGTGTGAATGTCTGTGTGTGCCCTGCGATGGACTGGTCTCCCCACACTGTATCCTGCCTTGTGCCCATTACTTGCCAAGATAGGCTCGGGCTCCTACGTGACCTTGTACTGGATAAAATGGTTAAAAAATGGATGGATAGATGGATTACTGTGCCATTATAATACTATTACTACTATTTAAACACGACAATAATCAACCAGTGATTAATAAAGTCACTTGACAGACCCGTTCAACTCCCCGAAAGACAGAAAGAAATATCAATGTTGATGGAAACTTACTTGGTCCAAATCCGACTGAATATGCACTTACAAATGCCATCATACTGAGCAAGCTGATCCAGTTCAGTATTCCATATCCCATAGGGCTGGTGGAAACCGAAGTCTCTGGAGTCATATCTGTCGAGAATGACTGAAAGGATGAATAGGTTTCCGAAACATCCGGTGATCCATAAGATTTCTCACTGCCTTTAGGTTTTTCCACGCTGCTGTTGCTCAGAATCAAAACTTGAAACACAGAACTATTTGAGGGTGTAGGTTCAGTGGATTTCACAGTGATAAATATGCTGCTTTTCAGGCGATCACCATCACCGCTGCAGGTCTTATTGGCATGGATGGCGGTGTGCTGGCTCAAAAGTCCAATCACCATCACGGATACTGACATCACAACACATCCACCGATCAGCAGTGCTCTTCGGCCCACCTTGTCGGCGCAGCTCATGGAGACTAGAGTCGCCACGACCTTCACAGCGCCCAGCCCCACCGAGGCCAGGACTGCAGAGGAGTCGCTTTGAAAACCCACAGAGTGGAAAATGGTGGAGGCGTAGAAGAGCACATTGGGCTGGCCAGTGAACTGCTGGAACAGCACCAGGCCCAGGCCGATGACGGTTCTGGTTCGCATGTTGTCTTTGGATTGAAAGAGGTTCAGGAAACTGTAGTACTGGTCAGAGACTCTGGCGGCACCGCCGTGTTCCATCTCTTCGGCCGAGGACAGCTGGATGAGGCCACTCTGGCTGGGGGCCTCCTGGGATACCTGAAGTGGCATTCCAGATCGGGATGGGAGGAAGAGAACAGCGAGGAACTGAACCAAGGATGGGACAGTGGCCAACCCAAACATATACTTCCACCCCTCTTTGACCTCGGAGAAGGCGTAGTTCATGGCGTAGGCTGCCAGAATGCCGACGGTGATGCCGGCTTCGTACAGAGTCACCAACAGCCCCCGCCGTCTGGGCCTGACCATCTCCGAGACAAAAATGCAGCAGGACATGGATGAGATCGACATGGCGAAGCCGACAGCGATGCGGCCGGCCACAAGCGCCGAGACAGACCTGCTGAGAGCCAGAAGGAGGCTACCGCCCAGGATGAGCAGGCTGCCGAGCAGGATGGAGTTCCTCCGGCCGTGCCGGTCTATCAGGACGCCGCCAACCAGGGAGGCCGAGAGGGCCCCGAGCAACAGGGCGCTCACGACCGCTTCCTGCTGGAAACAGCTCAGCTGGAATTCCGGCTGCAGCTGGAGGAGGGCTCCAGAGATGATGCCCAGCTCGTATCCAAAGACCAGGCCGCCCAGGACGGACACTGCCGAGGCCAGAACCAAGACGGAGCAACCTAACGGCGGGAACACGGAAAAATAATGGATGGTATTCTGAGGTCAACAGTAAGGAATTTTGAAAAGAGATTCGCTCTCCAAATCACTTATCTGAATTTAAATCAACATTTATTGCTCAGATAATACTCAAGGTCTCTAACATGCATACCTTTCATAGTTCAACATTTGCAGTCACAGGCTTTATAACAGAAAGTAAAGACAATGCACGCCTACAGCCTAGATTTATGAAGGCAATTCACCTATTTTTTGAGGTCTTAATCAAGGACTGCTGTTGTTCATCCTCTCTCTAGGTTTGTACAGAGTATTTGGTAACAGCCATTCCAGTTCTCAATCTCGGTTATATTTGTCACTGTGTTATATCACATGTGCAAGACTCGAATGTTTATTAACACAACAGTCACGACTGATTCTGGCCTTGAAACACCTCTGCAAACTACCAGGCTCAAAAGCTGCACGACTTGCACATTAAAATGGGACTCCTGTCAGTAAAGTTTAGAAATATTTCATTATAGCACAGTTTAATAGGGTTCTCGGTTTAAAAAAACATTTTCAATCACTAATAGATAAGTGCTATATATATACACAATATGCACAGTATACATAATTCCCCCCTATAATCAGCATTGCTAAAACTGATTTCCAATGGCAACTGCATGTTGCACAATTTTCTATTTGAGAGTAAGACATAAGAACAAAAAACAACAACAAAAAAAAGAATAAGAGCGACTTACCCATCATGACTGGCTTCAGAACTCTGTAACTTTAAAAACGGGCATTTCAAGCCGTGTCAGCTGTTGTCAGAGCCCGGTGTTATCCAAGAAACGATAAACCTATTGAGCAAGAAAAAACAAAAAAATAAAGATTTAGCAAAAGGGCCCAAACAAGCTAGACTTACTGTACTTTCTTTGTGCACAAAGGGGAATATTACTGTTCTCTTTTCCTAACCTCTTTTTAGAGGTTTTTAAAAATATCACAGCCTAAAGAATTCTAAGTGGAGAAGCAGTGATACTCAAATCACAGACAGGGCTGGGAGAGAAGCTAATGAGATTGTGAGGCTTTGTAGCTATGACAACTCACTTGTTGATGCTCATAATTTAATTAAACCAGACCACTTCAGAACAACTATCACTCAAAGGAGATGCGGCTAATGGTTTAGTTTTTAATTTTGTTTTTGAAGAGAATTATACAACAGTGTTTGCGCCCATCAGAGCCAATGCCCTTGTTTTCCAGGGTTATTGAGTCTAGTTGCCATAGCACCTGACAGGCATCACCGAGGAAGAGGAAGAACAACTGCTAATCCCTACAATGTACAGTATTATAGTTGTCTTTTGTTTTGACAAGTCTGTTTTATTTCGTTTTGTGGAATACCACACGTGCAAACACGGATATAAAGTTGCTATGTCAGAGAACATGCGCCATGTCGCACATTCATTTTACGGCGCGACTATGAACACACGTTTTCATGAATGAGAATCACTGAGCTTTTCAAAGCTTATACTTCACAGGTTTATCAAATTAAAATAAAAAATATTTTTAAAATAACATTAAAAAACAATATTCTTATAAATAAAAACATTAAGTTAAACATAAGTCTTTTGTCCCCTCTGCAATAAAACTGCTCAATGAATGTCCCCCCAGCACCTATTTATTTATGTATCACATACTGTTGTTGTGATTTCACGTACTTTGTGTGATTTTATGTGACTTTTTTGTTTTACTTGTGCGTTTTGTATTTGTATGGGAGAAGCCAAAGACTAAATTCCACAGCAGCAGACAAAGTATCTTTTTATATTTACAGAGATGATCTTGCTCAATGGTGCAATAGCAGCGTCCAATTCAAACGCAGAAACTTACACTCCAGAGACTGGAGGCCTCAAGATTTTGTTTTAGAACAAAAACAAATGAGTACTATCCAAGCTATATATATTTTATCATGTATACAGGTGAGGGAAAATATTATAAGTAAACTTCAACATATTGAGGAGAAATCGTGCCGTTCCTTGTTGCTGCTTTTAAACTGCAATACACGTATCTCCGATCAGAAAGCCCTTATTCCCGATTAGGCATCCCAACCTATTTCTGAAGAACAGTTTGTTAACATACAGTAAGTACAGCACTAGCTATCATTAACAGTTTTTAGGTCATTAGGTAATACATTGCTAACAGAATTAGAGTGCTTTTTTAGAACGCGATTATATTGGGACATCCTGCCTTTTCTCTTCAACGAAAGGCAGTTTACTCCAGTTAGATTTTATTTTCTTGGATGTACCATTAAACAAGTATATTGTTAACTACAATAAATTGAATGATACACAGTTACAGTTTGTTTGTTTTCTTTTAAATGTATACTGTTAATGCACCTTTTTATGTTTGTTACTTATTTTCAACAACACATTTTCCTATATATTTGCTAAACATGAAGAACTATTTTCTTGAACATTCAGGCCTAAATGACTTACATTCTTTGATGCCGGCTAGCTAATCGAAACGCAAAAAGAGCTTTTCAAAAGCATTTACATTTTCTATCAATTGTAAACAATTTCCTCAAAAACAGTCCATTACCCGAAGGTATTTCATGAATTTGCATCAAGAGGACTCAAAACATTATCCACTGTTTTTCCTAAAAATACAAAACCCAAATGGTTTGCTATTTGTACAAGAGGATAAGAGGAACGTTGCAAAGCAAAAAAACTGTTTGACCAATCACTGCTTAAAGTTAATAGACTTTAAAATGTCTTTCAGCCTGAAGAACAGTTCAACATATTTTTAAACAAAGATATAAGTCTTGCTACATTTTGTTCTGACGCCAAAGGAGCAAAATTACATAAAGCAATTCAAATAAACAATAGGCACAAACTAAACAATTTGCGCTCGTTCAGCAAAACTCCGTAACCGTTAAAGAGAAAGAGTTTATTGCTGTTAAAAGAGATATCATTTAAAGCAGTTCTAACTCCACCTTGCTTCGAGTTTGATGATTATTGCAGTCATCACAGACTTTTGTTATTTTTTGTGCTTTCAAAAGGTTTGTCTTCGGGACATGGAAACCAAAAGATGTTGCACCGCCAACCGCAGTCCCCAGCTATCCGCTATCCATCAAACTTCTTCAGGAAGTTGATGCTACGTGGCACAGACCCCGACCAACTTCTTCTCGGATTGCAAGATGCCAATGTGAATGTTGCCCGCAAGGGGCCGACATTTTGACTTCAAATTCAAAGGGATTGTGTGACTCCTAGCCTCCTTTAAACCGGGGTTTTGCAAGCATTCTTGTGCTGGCTGGAGACACGGCCACACATAACCTGTAATTGTGCAATGTAGCTGCATCTTCTCTAAGACAACCCAGATGTCCATTCCAGCAGTTTCATCTGAGATATACCGCCTAACTGGTTAATAAACGTGACATCAATTGTTTATTAATGCTGTAGCAGCGTCTACAACAATTATGTTTTGCTCCGTGTTATTAATAATGCAAAACTGCGCCGTAGTAACACATCTCATCAGAAGTAATAATGTCACCTATTTTTTTTTTTTATTCCTGAAAAGTGATACTTTAAGCCGCTGCCTAGACTTTATGCAGAAGACAGCGTGATCTGTTTGAACAGCAAGCCAGCACGCCCACTGTCGGAAACGGAAGTAGCACGAATGCGCAGGCGTGCCTGGGTTCAAGGCAGATGGAGAAAGTAGTGGTTGTCACTCAGGGTTAGATCACAACCAAAAGACAGGGTCGTGCTTTTTCCCCTCCAGCAGCAACGCAACGGTGCCGAGAATGGCTCTTGAGAAAGCGAGCGGCGCGGCCCGGCCGTTTCTGGACGGAGTGGAGGTGGTGAAGCAGGGAGCCGAGGCGCGGCTGTACCGGGGGCAGTTCCTGGGCAGAGCGGCGATCGTGAAGGAGCGGTTCCCGAAGCGGTACCGACACCCGTCCCTGGACGAGAAGCTCACTCACCGCAGGACCGTACAGGAGGTGCGGTCCATCCTGCGCTGCAGAAAGGCAGGTGCGAGCAGACGGAGCGGTGTAACACTGCCGTGAGGCAGACCCGTGTGCACTTGTACATGCGGGTCAGCCCGGGGCCTGTTGTGTTAATGAGAGTACTAACGAGCATCTAGAAACACCTTCTTTTTTCTCACTGGATCATCCGATCTACTTTCCACAAGCTGTTGACACCGTGATCCACAGTTTCTGGTGAAAACCCACGGACGTTTAGTAAAAGCATTAAAGAAATACCACATTTGAGCGGTCAGCTCCCCAATAGTTCCTGGTGACTATTACTGGTACTATAGGGGGTACCACAATTAAGCAAATTACGTTTTTAAACAAGTGCGATAACAGCCCCCAGAATTCACCCCCTCCAGAAGCATTGTAATCATGGAATCTAAAAAAAGCTGTGCATTATTGTAAAAATATACTTTTCACGGATGTACAGAGGCCCATTGGGTCACCAAAAGAGAAAGGTAAAAACGTGATGTGACAGGTAGCGTCACGTCTGTTCATCTAAAGTCATAACATGGGACTAACCTACTTTGGTTATGTTATAAATATTGCAATCAATTTCTTAGCCATATGATACAATAGTAGCACCCACTCCTAATAATCTTGATCCAAATAAATAATTTCCATAACACTATTTTATTCAGTTGTTTCAAACTCTTTGGATAATTCAATTTGTAAGGAACAGGATTTCACGTGTCCTTTTTAAAGCCTGTATTGCAGACATTCAGGTAATGAACTGGTGCATTTAGTTCAGTCTAGGCAGAACACTGATTTGACCCCACTAATGTCTGCAAGTGCATTATACATTGAAATCTCTGTAAATACGTGCTTGCCGTTATAGATGAGCAAGTGATTTTGATAAACAGCTCTGATGTTGTGCTGTGGGTACACATTTACAAAACGCCCTGTGGTTTGCAGTGTTTTTTCCAGGAACTATTGTTGTTTTTGCAGTAGTCTCTGAATTAAACATCTTCAAAATTACCCCTTAAACGAGTATGAAGACCCTTGCTGGTGACTTCACTTCTGTTTTTGTGAAAAGCACCCACAGGAGCTTGTCTATCACTGTACACAGCATGCTTTTCTGTTATTAGAATGAATGGAGATATGAAGTATCCCATTACCCAGCTCAAATGTGTTGGAGAGTTCAATTCATCTGATGCATTTCTCCTTTTTAAAATTCATCAACTTCCTCGCACTCATGTGTAGTCCAGCAGAAAAAAGGTTCATTTTAAAGTAGCAAAACCAAATGGACATTTTTGATCTTTTAAAAACAAAGATGCAAGGTATTATTAGACAGCCTTTTAAGAAAAAACAACAACATTGGGTCCCATGAGTGGCTGGTTTCCTGGACTGGACGTCTTTGCATCTGTTTTATTTTTCCTTTCATTCAGGCATCGCTACTCCGGTAGTTTATTTTGTCGACTACACCTCCCACTGCATCTTCCTTGAAGAGATTGTGGGCGCGGTCACAGTGCGGGACCATCTCAACTCTGCCCGGGCCTGCGGGAGAGACCCCGAGCATCTTCACGCTCTCGTGGAGAGGATGGGGCAGATTCTGGCCAAGATGCACGACGAGGATGTGGTCCATGGGGACCTGACCACCTCCAATATGCTTCTGAGGGGGGACGCCGACGGCGGCAACGCAGAGCTGGTGCTGATCGACTTCGGGCTGAGCTACATCTCGGCCCTGCCGGAGGACAAAGGGGTGGACCTGTACGTGTTAGAGAAGGCGTTCCTGAGCACCCACCCCAACACGGAAGAGCTCTTCGGGGCGCTGCTGGAAAGTTACGCCGCTTGCTCAAAGAAGTCGTCTCCCGTCATCAAAAAACTGGATGAAGTGAGACTCCGCGGTAGGAAAAGGTCAATGGTGGGCTGAAAGGAGGGTCTCATGGGGCGCTGGTCCCAGGGGCATGAAGAGCTCGGGATCAGCACTGGGGCTCTGTGGGACAGTTTGGGATCAGGAGACTTGATTTTGGTGACA